ATACCTTATAGCAACCTTTCAATATCTGAAGGGTGCCTATAGAAGAGCTGGGGAGGGACTCTTTGCCAGGAAGGGTAATGATAGGACAAGGGGAAACGGTTTTAAATTGGAAGAAAAAAGATTCAGATTAGATCTCAGGAAGAAATTTTTGACTCTGAGGGTGGTGAGACACTGGAACAGGTTGCCCAGGGAAGTTGTGGCTGCCCCATCCCTGGAGGGGTTCAAGGCCAGGCTGGATGGGGCTTGGAGCAACCTGGTCTGGTGGGAGGTGTCCCTGCCCAGGGCAGGGGGGTTGGGACTCCATGATCTTTGAGGTCCCTTCCAACCCAAACCATTCTATGATTCTATGAGGCCCCGGGGTGCAGGAGCCTCCCTGGGGAGACCCGAGGGTGCTGCTGGCCTCCACCCAGCCTCTCCGCTCCGGCAGGTGTGGGGCTCGGTGCCGGCACAGCACGGCACGGCCCGGCTATGCCAGGAATGTGCCGAATGCGTCGGGGCTTGACTGCGGGAGGTCGGGGCTCAGAGGAGCAGATGAGTCACTTGGAGGGCTGGCAAGAGCTGGGGCAGAGCCAGAGCTGCCCCAGCCCCCTAAAAACCTGCAGCCTCCCCGCACCCCTGGCGCCCGTGGGGAAGGTGCCATGGTCCCGCGGTGACAGCGGGGACACGCAGGCTGGCACTGCTTGCTCTTTGGGGTGCAAGGTGCCCTGTCGTGCCCCCTGTGCCCCGGGGTGCTGTGTTTATGGCTTTTATTTTTCATCCGTGCGAGCGCACCCGTGTGCCAGAGCATTGGAGTGAGAGAGGAGCCCATGGGAAATCCCACAGTGGAAAATTGGTAATTTAGACCAAAACAATCCAAAGCCTCTGCAGGGATCGGCACACAACCTGCTGCGGCTGTGTGAGCCCGGGCTGGGGATCACCCCTCTCCCCCTCCCGGGGGGGCTCAGAGGTGGGCACCCACCTCTGCAGAGCCCCAAAATCTGTGCCAGGAGCAGAGGCATCCCCCCACCAGGGCATCCTTACACCCTGCAATGGGCCCTGCGCCCTCTGAGTGCTCCCAGCTGGGCTCCGTGTCCTGCGTGGGGGGGGAGGAAATTCAATTTTGGATGAGAATTTCAAAAGCTGTGCCCGTATGCAGAGGGACCACGCACACCCCGGGCACGGGGAGCCCAGCCCAGCCCGGCCGCCGGCGGCTCTTATCAGCCGCTGCGTCTGCACGGATTTACAGCTCGCCCCCGCCTGGGGTTTGTTGTTGGGTTGGTTTTTTTTTTTTTTTTGGCCATTTGATGGTCTCGTATCATGATTAAAACCATCCCCGCAGCAGCCCTCCGCTTCCCAGCCTGCGCGGGGTGGTGCCGTGCAGATGTTTGTCCAAGGCTATTTCTGAGCACTCGCAGCTCGGCCGCCCCCGGGGCCGCGGCTGGGGCTGGGGAAGGAGGAATCCGCTGCGTGTCGGTGTGTGGGGAGCAGGAGCCTCCGGGCTGTGAGTACCTCCAGACCCCTGGGAGGTGGGATGGGGGGTGAGGATGAGGGCTGAGCCCCTTTTGTGCCCCTCTTTTGGCACAAAGACGCGCTGGCTGCCCCAAGGTGGAAGCGTCCCCGCTCCAGGGCACGGCACGGGATGCTCCTGGGGGGTGGTGATGCTGGGGGGGCTCGGGATCGGGGGGATATGGGTTTGCTGCCCACTTGTTGTCGTGCCCCAGGGCTGTAAATGAGCAGAGCAGGGCTCTGCCAGCTCCCGGTGATGGCACGGCCGCAGGTTAATCATTCAACCCCGTCGCAGGTTGGGTAACGAAGCCACTGGTGGCGGGGGGGTGACAGGGATGTGTATCCATCCACTTCTCAGGAACAGCCCCCGTGTTCCTCCCCCAGCTCGGGGTCCCAGTGTCCCCTCTCCCTGGTGGTGATCCCGGTGGGTACCGCAGCGTGCGGGACACCCTGGCATGGGGGCACGGGTGGCACCGTGCGCTGGCCAAGTGGCAGCCCCGGGAGCTGAGCCGGCCCCCGGCACGGCCCAGGGAGCCAAGAGCTGGGGCTGGGTTGTAAACACACTGGGATAGAGTTACAGCCATCGATGTTCCTTGGAAAAGCTGCAGGAAGGGAGAGCTCGGGGACCCCTGAGCGGAGAAATCCCTGGCTCCCGCAGCGAGGAGGGGATGGACGTGCCTCCTGCCTCCATGGGCAGCCAGCGGGGAGCAGCCCCACTCCTTGGCAGAAGGCTGTGGGGCTCAGCACCCCGGCTGCCCCCCAGGATGGGGGGAGATTGGGGCTTCCCCGTGGCTGAGCTCTTTATGGCTCGGCTGGACGCAGAGGCAGGATACGGCCCTCGGGGCTGCATGGGGACGTGCAGGGCAGCTGCCAAGGGAGCAGGATAGAGTTACAGCCATCGATGTTCCTTGGAAAAGCTGCAGGAAGGGAGAGCTCGGGGACCCCTGAGCGGAGAAATCCCTGGCTCCCGCAGCGAGGAGGGGATGGACGTGCCTCCTGCCTCCATGGGCAGCCAGCGGGGAGCAGCCCCACTCCTTGGCAGAAGGCTGTGGGGCTCAGCACCCCGGCTGCCCCCCAGGATGGGGGGAGATTGGGGCTTCCCCGTGGCTGAGCTCTTTATGGCTCGGCTGGACGCAGAGGCAGGATACGGCCCTCGGGGCTGCATGGGGACGTGCAGGGCAGCTGCCAAGGGAGCAGTTTGGGGTGCAATGAGGTCCACGGGGGGGTGCAGAGCCCCTTGAAAACCCCTTTGCATCCCCGGCGGGTTGTGCTGCAGCAGCCTGTGACACCGCCGCGTCGTTAAAGGGGCTTTAATGGCCAAGGATGCCTCGGCGTGCGGGCCCCGCAGCGGCGCGGTGCCGAGGGGGTTAAGGCTGGCGGCAGCTGCGGTGGCTGTTAATGATTGATACCAATGACGGTCTCCATGGGGCTCGGGAGGAAGGAAACCGTCCACCCCGGCTGCTGCGGGAGAGCCACCACCGGCTTGGCAGGCGGCGTGGACGGAGGGGACGCGGGGTGGCACCGGTGAGTGTGTACGTGTGTGTGTGTGTGCGTGCAGCGTGGGCAGGGAGCCCGGCCGTGCCACACGTGGGCCATTGTCTGTGGCCGGTGGCCATCGGTGGCCAAGAGCAGCCTGGGGACCCGAGGATGGCCGGCACGGTGACGGGCACAGCCGGGAGTGTGGCAGGGAGGGATGGCAGCGGGGGGGTTGGCAGGGTGGTGTGATTATCCGGTGTGATGGGTTAAGCAGGTGCCGAGGATTTGTCCCCAGCAGGATTTTTCCCAGCCCTGCTGCCCTAATTCCCGCTCCTGACCTGACCTGCCTGGGGAGGGGTTGGGGCCGGGGTTGTTTTGATGCCTCGTGGCGGCGATTGCTTAGGACAGGTATTTCTGCCACTGGAAGTGGTTTCCTAAAGAGCTTAGTGAGAGGTTTAAACCCTCCAGGTCAGGGTCTGGCTTGTGGCTTGGAAGCTGCATTAATGGGTCACCGTTGGCAGAGGTGTCACAGCTGCCCAGGTACCTCCGTACCCCCCAGCTGGGTTTCGGTGGCAGTGCCAAGCCCAGCCATGAGCCGTGGCCATGTCACCCCAACCCCACAATGGTTCCAGGTTTGTGGGAGGCTGCAGAGCATGAGGGGTTTTTTTTTTTTTTTGGCCATTTGATGGTCTCGTATCATGATTAAAACCATCCCCGCAGCAGCCCTCCGCTTCCCAGCCTGCGCGGGGTGGTGCCGTGCAGATGTTTGTCCAAGGCTATTTCTGAGCACTCGCAGCTCGGCCGCCCCCGGGGCCGCGGCTGGGGCTGGGGAAGGAGGAATCCGCTGCGTGTCGGTGTGTGGGGAGCAGGAGCCTCCGGGCTGTGAGTACCTCCAGACCCCTGGGAGGTGGGATGGGGGGTGAGGATGAGGGCTGAGCCCCTTTTGTGCCCCTCTTTTGGCACAAAGACGCGCTGGCTGCCCCAAGGTGGAAGCGTCCCCGCTCCAGGGCACGGCACGGGATGCTCCTGGGGGGTGGTGATGCTGGGGGGGCTCGGGATCGGGGGGATATGGGTTTGCTGCCCACTTGTTGTCGTGCCCCAGGGCTGTAAATGAGCAGAGCAGGGCTCTGCCAGCTCCCGGTGATGGCACGGCCGCAGGTTAATCATTCAACCCCGTCGCAGGTTGGGTAACGAAGCCACTGGTGGCGGGGGGGTGACAGGGATGTGTATCCATCCACTTCTCAGGAACAGCCCCCGTGTTCCTCCCCCAGCTCGGGGTCCCAGTGTCCCCTCTCCCTGGTGGTGATCCCGGTGGGTACCGCAGCGTGCGGGACACCCTGGCATGGGGGCACGGGTGGCACCGTGCGCTGGCCAAGTGGCAGCCCCGGGAGCTGAGCCGGCCCCCGGCACGGCCCAGGGAGCCAAGAGCTGGGGCTGGGTTGTAAACACACTGGGATAGAGTTACAGCCATCGATGTTCCTTGGAAAAGCTGCAGGAAGGGAGAGCTCGGGGACCCCTGAGCGGAGAAATCCCTGGCTCCCGCAGCGAGGAGGGGATGGACGTGCCTCCTGCCTCCATGGGCAGCCAGCGGGGAGCAGCCCCACTCCTTGGCAGAAGGCTGTGGGGCTCAGCACCCCGGCTGCCCCCCAGGATGGGGGGAGATTGGGGCTTCCCCGTGGCTGAGCTCTTTATGGCTCGGCTGGACGCAGAGGCAGGATACGGCCCTCGGGGCTGCATGGGGACGTGCAGGGCAGCTGCCAAGGGAGCACTTTGGGGTGCAATGAGGTCCATGGAGGTGCAGAGCCCCTTGAAAACCCCTTTGCATCCCCGGCGGGTTGTGCTGCAGCAGCCTGTGACACCGCCGCGTCGTTAAAGGGGCTTTAATGGCCAAGGATGCCTCGGCGTGCGGGCCCCGCAGCGGCGCGGTGCCGAGGGGGTTAAGGCTGGCGGCAGCTGCGGTGGCTGTTAATGATTGATACCAATGACGGTCTCCATGGGGCTCGGGAGGAAGGAAACCGTCCACCCCGGCTGCTGCGGGAGAGCCACCACCGGCTTGGCAGGCGGCGTGGACGGAGGGGACGCGGGGTGGCACCGGTGAGTGTGTACGTGTGTGTGTGTGTGCGTGCAGCGTGGGCAGGGAGCCCGGCCGTGCCACACGTGGGCCATTGTCTGTGGCCGGTGGCCATCGGTGGCCAAGAGCAGCCTGGGGACCCGAGGATGGCCGGCACGGTGACGGGCACAGCCGGGAGTGTGGCAGGGAGGGATGGCAGCGGGGGGGTTGGCAGGGTGGTGTGATTATCCGGTGTGATGGGTTAAGCAGGTGCCGAGGATTTGTCCCCAGCAGGATTTTTCCCAGCCCTGCTGCCCTAATTCCCGCTCCTGACCCGACCTGCCTGGGGAGGGGTTGGGGCCGGGGTTGTTTTGATGCCTCGTGGCGGCGATTGCTTAGGACAGGTATTTCTGCCACTGGAAGTGGTTTCCTAAAGAGCTTAGTGAGAGGTTTAAACCCTCCAGGTCAGGGTCTGGCTTGTGGCTTGGGAGCTGCATTAATGGGTCACCGTTGGCAGAGGTGTCACAGCTGCCCAGGTACCTCCGTACCCCCCAGCTGGGTTTCGGTGGCAGTGCCAAGCCCAGCCATGAGCCGTGGCCATGTCACCCCAACCCCACAATGGTTCCAGGTTTGTGGGAGGCTGCAGAGCATGAGGGGAGAGCCAGAAGGATGGCACCCTGATCCCATAAACGCTCTTTATGTCTTGGGTTCACTCGCCCGTGATGGTGGCCTGTGCTTCTTGGTGTCTGCCATGGTCCGTCTCGGTGTGCCAGCAGCCTCCGAGCCCCACAGTGTCCATTTCTATTTGTCCTCGACTGACTTCATCCCCGCTGGTCCCCTGGGGGTCTGCTCCCAGACCACCCCACAACTGGGGAAGGATGCTTGGCCGATGATGCCCCAGGAGAGCTGCTGTGGGGCTGCCCTGTCCCACGTGGGCACGGTGGCTCGGGGACCCTGGCGATGCCGTGCACGTGGGGTCTGGGTTTTGTCCCCAGGAAGGGGCAATAGATAGTTAAAATAGGGCTCAGCACTGCCAGGGCATGGACCATGACCTGCTCTGACCCCGCTCCTGGCCCCCCCTGTCCCCCCGCTGTGACACCCCCACACACGGGATGCTGCTGCGCCTGCCCTGAACTCTCCCCCTCCCGCAGCAGCCCGTTTTTTTGGCTTGGGCCACCCCCCATGGGCCATGCCTGTGATGGAGCCGGGGTTGCTAGGGAGATAAAACACAAACTCCCCGTGCTTTTTTGTGCTTTTTGTGCTTTTTTTTTGTTCTTTTTTTTTTTTTCTCCCCGACCCCAGCTGGAGCGGGAGCAGGAGACTCGCCCTCCCCGCCGCCGGCGATGCTGGCTGCCAGCAGCCGCTTTGTTCTCTGGAAATCCCCTGGCTTCCCCCTGCTCCCGGCCATCCCTCCCAGCCGGGGGCAACGGGGGGGGGCTTCTGCTCTCCATCCCACCCCCACGGACCACGGCCAGCTGGGATGTCCCTGCTTGGGGGCCACCACTGCTCCTGCGCCAGCCTGGCCACGGTGACGTTGAAGGTGGGTGGTGGGTGCGTGGAAGCCACCATCCATCCCGCCCTTGCCCAGGACTTTGCCCCCAGCGCAACGGCCCTGCTGCTTCCCAGACGGACCCGGCTTTTCCTGGGGCAGGGCTCCCACGGGGACACTTGGGGCTAATGGTGAGCGTGTCCTTGCAGGAGCCTGGCCGTGGTGCTTGCTGCCTGCAGCCCCTTACACCCAAACCCTCCTCAGGGTGGTCTCCAGGCTGTGGCTCTCATGGGTGGTGGGTGCTGAGCCATGGCACTCCCCGCCTGCCACCGCGGTGACGTGTGTGGTTTGTCACCGGGGTGAGGTGGCAGAGGGGACAGGCGCTGGGACCAGCACCCTCCCTCCTGTGCAGGACCCAGCGCAGACAAGAGCAGGAGGCAAAATTAACCTTTGCTTTTGCCTCCCTGGCCCCATCCCGGTACCGATGGCACTGGAAGGGGACCGTGGTGGGCTGGCACGGGTACCACAGCGCTGTGCCGGCACCGAGCCGGGCACGGGAGGAGGCTGTGTCTGCAGCAGAGCTGGGTTTTGTTAGCACAGGGTGATGGGGGGGGGCTGTGCTGCCTCCTGGCCCCCAGCCCTGATGGACACGGTGCCGGAAACGCTTGCTCAGCTGGACGCGGGGCCGGGATCAGGACGGGGATGAGGTTATGGAGGAGAAGCGGCTGCCGGTCCCCGCTGTGCCGGGAGCAGCCGGCGGCACCGCAGGGACGGGCTGGAGGGAAACCCCATCTCCACACCAAGGGCTGGTTTTCAAGTGCCCACAAGCCACTTTCTTCCCAAAGAGTGATCTCTCTGGGATTTCCAGGGCTCCTGGGCGGCTCTGATCAGCCCTTGGCAGGGCCTGGCCAGGCACGGGGTGGGGTTTTGCAGCTCTCCATCCCGCCTTCTCCTCTCTCTCCTCTTCCCCTGCAACCTTTTCACCTTTCACTGCCCTCTCCCAGGGTTGGCACAGAACTCTTCCAAGCCCAGGGCAATTTGGAAATGCTGAGCGGCGTTTCCCACCGGGTTGTGGCCCGAGCTTTTGGCCGGGGTTGGGGTTGGGGCTGGCAGAGGGTGCCCTGTGTCCGGCTCAGCCCTGCCGAGGGCGTGGGGAGAGCACGGGGCTGGCTTTGATTTTTTCCTGCTTGAGTCATGGGACGGGGGCTGAAGTAGCTGCAGCAGGAGCAGCCCGGGGCCTCGCTGGGCAGAGAGCCGGGGCCGGGGCCGGTGGAGCAGCCGAGCTGCTGGCACTCATCCCCCGGCTGCAGCGACTCCGCCAGACCCGCTCGTGCTGCGCCTGCAGAATTTAATTTTATTTATTTTTTTTAATATTTTTTTTTCCATTTTTTTTTCCCTATTGCATCTCGAGCACGTGCTGCGCCGGCCCTACGAGTGCCCTGCACCCCCAGCACCGAGCGGGACAGCCCCGGGGGTGCAGAGGGTCTGGTTTATTAGGGGATTATCATGGATTTACTCCTGCCCTTTGCAAGACAGGACTCGGCAGTTTGCACTTTCTCATCCAAGGGTGGATTTTCTCTGCCAACCCCCTTTGCAGGGGCCGCGGGTGACCCCCCCATCCCGTCCCATGGGTGCTGAGCGCTGCAGTTAACGGGGAGAGAAGGGTTTTCAAGGGCTCCTGTCGGAGGAGAGGGATGTGGCTCGGGAGGAGGGGGAGAGGTGAAGAAAGGGCTAGAAAAACAGAGGAAGGAGGCCAGCGCACAGGGCGTGTTTGGCCAGTGGCCACGCAAGCCCCTTGCTCGGGAGCTGCCTGGATGCTCGCCCCGAGAACACGGGGAAAACCTCCAGATGAAGGGTTTTCATTATCGCTCAGGAGGGGGGCTGCTGGCAGCCTTGGCCGCCTGCCTCCCCCTCCTCCTGCTGCTGCCTGCCATGGTCCCAGGGTGGAAAAGCCACGATGGCAACCCCCCCATCCCTGCCGAGTGCCCCGAGGGTTGGGGCGATGGGGCCAGCGAGGAGCTGAGATTCGGGTTGGGGTGTGGGAGGACATGGAGGTTGGATCCACGGCCCAGGCAGGGCTGGTGGGGACAGGGTGGTGGGGCTCCCCACAGCCTCCCCTCCCTGGCCATTCTGCTCTGGATTTAGAGCTTGGCAGGCCCCAGAGCCTGGGCGTCGAGCCTGCATCTCCCCTCCTCCTGCCGCCCTCGCAGCCGCCAGATAACAGCCAGGAGCCCCGACGCCCCGGGGAGGGCCATGGAGCAGGAATGGTTCCCATTAGCTGACGTCTGCCGTGCTACAGGGGGTTTGGGGGGCTGCATCCAGCCAGCCCAGCTGAGCTTGTTGTCTGCTGTTGGAAAGGACCCCCCCCCACTCCCCACAGCAGCCCCCAGAGGGCTTTTTCCATCCCTTCCAGTACGTCCTATCCCATGTCCAACAAGGAGATCTCCCCATGAGGAGGGGTCTCGATGCAGCCAGCTGGGAATCCTGCCCAGGAAGAGCGTGGTTGGCATCACCCCCTGGTTCTTTGCCCCACTGGCATCACCTACGGGTGCTTTGCCCCATGGCAAGCTGTGCTGGGGGCTCACTGCTCCCCACACCCACTCCCCCCGGCGCCCTGGGTGCCCCGAGCCTCGGCGTGGGCTGGTGCTGGGAAATCACTCCCTCCTGTCACCATTTCACCTGCTTCTTGCCAGATGGAAGCTATAAAGCATCCCGCCCTCCCGCCCGGGGTGGCTCTGCCGGGGCTGGGTTGCACCCAGTGCTGCTCCTGGGTGATGTGGGGGGGGGTCCGGCACCCCCACACCATGTTCATGGAGGGGGGAGGTCCTTGGGCTTTGCCGTGGTTTGCAAAAGCTGGAAATCCGTGACCTTCATGGGCTGTGGAAGAGCAAGGGGGAGCCAGGAGGGTTGTTTTCCTGCTCCCAACAAACTTCAGCTTTGGGGAAG